CTCATTTTACACTTTTCAGATCGTTTCACATTTTCTCAATAATATTCCTCTTTTTTCTGCTTGTTCTTCATCTTCGATGATTTGATCTGTGTATTTTGAGTTTATTAGAGAACGTAATATCTATAGTGATATTGGATAGTTTTTATTGATGGAGAAGCATATTGGTGAATTAACACTGAATTGAAAATTTAATGATTTTTTTATTAATTATATTAATTGTAAATTATAAATAAGCGACTTCATACTTAATACATTTTACAGATACATATATATGTATTTACTCCCTTGTATTTTTTTAATTTGTTATTTTAAATTTATTGATCATTAATCAAATAAATGATGTTTTGGTCACTTATACATATTTTTTTCATTTTTACTCTAATTTAATTAATACAAAACACGTATTAGGAGAAAAGTTGTGAAAGACTACGAGTTTTATCCCTTTAAAAAAAATAAAAATTGCTGAAAAGAAATAAATTAGTTACTGTTAATTTGATTTGAATAAGGATAATATTGACAAGAAAAAAAAACTTAATTTATTTGTTAAAATACGAAACGATGTTTATTTATAAATAAAAAAAAAAATTACGATTTATCTTTTGAATACTTTTGGACAAAAAGGGGCAGCTTCTTGAGTTGAGCCGCGCGATTTGATTTGAAAATTTTGGTTACTTCTCATGCTGAATTTTATGTACAAACAGATTTGGCTCCATTATTGACATGCAAACCTACTAATTATTAATTAATTTTAAGCATGAGTGGGCCCACTGCCAATGACAATTGACAATCAATTTTTTTGTCTCTATGTTACATTGTGGTGATTACATATTTTTGCCACCAATATAATTAAATATTTATTTTTTATCTATTGGCCAATTTTTGATAAGTAGGGTGCGGTTCCACACAGTGAAATACACTATAAGAGGATAAATATAGGTGCATTTTAGTAAATTTTCATTTCAAAATCAATCGGTGATAGAATGTGTAACTCACTATGCTTATAACCTAGACTCATTTAATCTATCAAATAAATGTAAGATCACTTACAAGTGAATAGTGTTGATACTCGTGCGATGCACAATTTATACTATAAATTAATATTTTATTATTCAAATATTGTTAATTTGTTTAGGACAACATGGTAATATATCCGACTGTGTATATCAAGTCAGTAATAAATATAAATTTTATTTGGATATCTTATTTAATTTATTTTTAAAGGGTTTGATTATTTAATATATAAATCTCACTATTTATAATTTTATGAAATGGCATCAATATATAGATTTTAAATTTAATGTTTGTATATAAATTGCTTACATATACTTGTAAAAATATACGTATCAAAATAACCATATCATGTTCTCTAATTAAAAATATATGCATATTTATAAATAATATATATATATATATATATATATATATATGTGTGTGTGTGTGTGTGTGTTGTTATATATCGGCCAGCAAAAAACTATTGCCTTTAATTCCCTCATTGTCCATAGTAAGAAGTTACAACATATGATTATTTTGATGGAAAATGCTATATTTAGTGTTTACACAACAATTTATATATAACTAGTACAGAGCTCGTGCGATGCACGGGGTGCACAATTTTAAGGTCATTTATCCATTCTTATAATTATATAAATGAATAAAAAAATATACGGGATATATATAGTACGTGACCTGT